CTCCACCCGGCGCTCTGGCCGCCACTCCGCCCTTCTCCCGGCGCTCTGGCCACCAGGGAGAGCGGAGCTGCGGTGGGCGTCTCCGCCCTCCCTCCGGCGCTCTGGCTGCCTGGGAGAGCAGAGCCCCGGCCAGCTCGCTGCCCTCTCCCCGGCGCTCTGGCCGCCGGGGAGAGCGGAGCCCCGGCCGGGCTCTCCGCCCTCCCCCCGGCGCTCCGGCTGCCAGCGGAGCCGTGGCAGGCTCACTGCCCTCCCCCCGGCACTGTGGCCGGTCGGGGAGAGCGGCCTGTGGCCGGGCTCGGTGCCCTCCCCTGCCGCGCTGGGGGGTGAGGGTGGGGGGCGGCGGGAGGCTTTTTTGCCTGGGGTGGCAAAAAAGCCAGAGCCGGCCCTGATGGGGATATGGACTATAGATAGAGGAGCTAGAGAGTTAGGTGTTTAAATGCATATACTTTCAATGGAGTCACTACAAATCCAGGAAATTACTAGTTAAGACAACGTCAGCATGTAGGCAAAACTCAATTCCCATATCTTACTAGCCAAAATGTAACATCCAAATGCTTTGGGCACCGTGGCTCCACAACACACTGCCTTTCAGTTCTACATAGACCTACCCACAATGCACATTTTCACTTCCTTTAAATCACACATACAAACCATAATCTGATCTCAGATATGTTGGTAGAAGTATAAGAAGTTTCTTCCATTTTGAAAGACAATACTGTTGGAGACATACACATTAAATGAGGAATACCAGTAGAACCTGGTAACACCTCTCAAACCAGCAGGAAACGTTAAGTGTATCCACTGCATTTTAAGGTTAAAGTTTGAATGATTTTTGAGGAATTAGATGTGTAGATGCTTATCCATATAGAAGTTACTTGCCATTGCAACTTCTTGCTAGAGAAACCTTATCCCATCAGCTCCCTTAGTTTTAAAAACAACTCCACCACTGATGCAGCATACTTGTACGCAGCTTTCCAAGTCTTATCCCAGTTGGAGGTCTCTCCATTACTAATACAGCACATTGCTGCCACTAGAGGGGATGTGACATCCATTTTCTCTAGATTCATTGGATCACGAGTATCCTCCATTGGTATCCAGCAAGTACAAATCAGGGAATGCCTTTTGTCTGGCTGCCTGCTTCTGCCTTTAATCTGGCTACCTGCTTCTGTCCCATCTGTGTACCCTTTAGACTTCACACCCTCTACCCTAGAGAAGGAAGGGATCTTAGAATTAAGAAAGGCAGTGGGGGTAGGCCAACAATATACTGAAGCAGAACAGAAGAGATGTCTGATAGCAGCCATTTTAAATATCCTGATCTGGTTTAAATAATTCATATGAAGTTTTAATGTATAATTGATTACACACTTCAGGTGGGTCTTTGCTGCTGATTGAAATTAGGAACAGGATAATAATGAAGACATTTTCTAATATTTTTCTTTTATGATTTTGCTTATAGACCAACAGTGGCTTAATGAGAAGAAACAACTTGCTTCCCTCCAGCCGCAGCAGAGGGAGTTTGCTGTACAGACAGAGTCTAAGTCGTATGTAGAAGCTGAAGTGCAGAATACTGTGGATTTGGAGATCTGTCCTTCCCTGGTAGAGCAGAACAGGAAGAGACTGGTACAGCTGGAGCTTTTGCGGAGATACTCTTTAAAGAAAGCAGAAAGAAACATAAGGCGGAAAAAGGTCAAGTTCCAGTTGGAGAGGATTATCAAGAAGCAAAAATTACTGGAAGCCAAGAGAAACCTAGAGCAGCTAGAGGCCAGCTGCTGGCTCAGTGAGGATAACCTGAAACAGTCCCAAGTCCTGAACCAAAATACCACAATTACCTCCTGGGATTACAAGTTGCAAAGGAGAAGCAAGTCATTGGGTTCAAGTTCCTTGCAACACAGAAGACATTCTTTTTGTAATCCTTACCCACCACATGTACCCATTTACAGGTAAGTAAACTTTTGTAGAATTTTCCATATTTGTTCCACGTTTAAGAAATATTTGCTGCCCTAGTATCAGGTAATGTACTAAAAACCTTTTTATAACGGTATATTAACCCAAACTTTGTATAAGTCAAAACCCTGTTCCATCTTATAAAAGCAGCTGCACCACTCTCACTTCCCTTTAAGTCTCCAGACTTATTTTATAACACATTTTCAAGTGGTTTGTCCTTGCTTTCAGGGCACTGCACCCCGCCTAAATCTTTGACCTAGTCTCCTTTCACATCGCCCCTGCCTCCTTGATACCCCTTTCACTGGCTCTCACACATGCCTCTGCACCTTTTTCATAGGTTTGGAATCCCTTTCCTGGACTCTTGGTCAGGACTCCATTTTTGCCTGATTCAAACCACTCCTAAAAACTCACTTCTGCAGTGTCATCTTAAAAGATAAGCAAGGGTACCCTTAACCACTCCCAACACACCCACAACATTTGAACCACCAAAACATATATATGCTTAAGTTGATTAATCGCAGTTAACTATAACGCGATTAACTCAAAACTAGGGTTACCATACGTCCGGATTTTCCCGGACATGTCCGGCTTTTGGGGGCTCAAATCCCCGTCCGGGGGGAAATCCCCAAAAGCCGGGCATGTCCGGGAAAATCGGGAGGCTCGGCCGGGGCCTCTTTGTGCGGGGCCGGGGTCGCGGGGCCGGGGGC